GTTAAACAGAGAAATCCAGGGAAGCCAAAGGGCAAAAAAAGAGGCATATAGGCAGTGGAAGCAGGGGGAAGCTACCAAGGAGGAGTGTACCTACCTGGCCCACACTTGCAGGGAGGCAGTTAGAAAGGCCAAAGCAACTGTGGAACTGAGGCTGGCAACACAAATTAAAGACAAAAAAAAGCCTTTTTTTAGGCACATAGGGAGTAAAAGGAAGGCGTAGGGCAGCAGAGGACCCCTACTGAGCAAGCAGGATCAATTAGTGACAGACAGGGGGGACAAGGCTGAGCTCTTCAATGAGTTTTTTGCCTCAGTGTTTCTGAACAAGGGTCAAGACAAGTCTCCTAATGGGTTCTTAGATGGGCATCAGAGGTTCACCAGCCTAGCAACTGTCGATGCTGAGTTGGTATAGAGTCACTTGGATGAACTGAATGTGTTTAAGTCAGCAGGCCCAGATGAGCTGCATCCAAGAGTACTGAAGGAATTGGCCAGTGTCACAGCAGAACTACTGGAACAGTTGTTTGAGCACTTGTGGTGCTTGGGTCAGGTCCTGGAGGACTGGAAAAGGGCAAACGTGGTCCCTATTTTCAAGAAGGGGAGGAAGGAGGATCCAAGTAATTTTAGGCCACTTAGTCTCACCTCTATCCTTGGAAAAGTCTTTGAAAATATTATTAAGGATCATATTTGTGTGAGTCCAGTGGGAAAAGTAAATCAGCAGGGAAACCAGCATGGTTTCGTAGCAGGAAGATCATGCCTGACTAATCTGGTTTCTTTTTATGACCAGGTCACAAAACGCTTAGATGCAGGAGTAGAGGTGGATGTCGTTTACTTGGATTTTAGGAAGGTCTTCGATATGGTATCTCATCCCATTCTCATAAATAAATTAAGAGACTGTGACTTAGATGATTACACAGTCCAGTGGGTGACAAATTGGCTTGGGGGTCACACCCAGAGCGTGGTAGTGGATGTGTCAGTATTGACCTGGAAGAATGTGGGCAGGGGCGTCCCGCAGGGCCTGTACTCTTCAATGTCTTCATCAGTGAATTGGATGTGGGTGTGACGTGTACTCTGTCCAAGTTTGTGGATGATACTAAATTGTGGGGTGAAGTAAACCCATCAGAGGGTAGAGAATGATTGCAGGCAGACCTGGACAGGTTGGAAAAGTGGGCAGAACACAATAGGATGCAGTACAACAAGGACAAATGCAGAGTGCTGCACCAAGGTGTATAAATATCCAGCACACGTACTGGCTGGGAAATGACCCTTTCAGCAGCACAGAAGCGGAAAGAGATCTCAGAGTTATAGTGGGCTCCAAGATGAACATGAGTCGTCAGTGTGATGAAATAATCAGCAAAGCTAACCGTACTTTATCATGCATCAGCAAATGCATGACTAATACAACCAAGGAGGTGATACTTCCCCTCTATACGGCATCGGTCAGAGTACAGTTGGAGTACTGCATCCAGTTTTGGGCACCATACTTTAAGAAGGATGTGGATAGCCTTGAGGGGGTCCAGAGGAGGGCCACTCATATGGTTAAGGGTTTGCAGGCCAAGCCTATAAGGAAAGACTAAGGGACCTGGATATTTTCAGCCTCCTCAAGAGAAGGCTGAGAAGTGATCTTGTGACCACCTACAAATTCATTGGGGGGGGGGGGGC